ACAGTTGCCCCACCGCAAACCATTTATGGGAGTCGGTGGTTGTCTGAAAAAGCAAATTTTGAAGGCGAAAATCGGACGCATCCAGAAGACCCGCCTTTTGGCTATTTTCCTTGCCTGTATTTCTGTACTATGCTTTGACTATACCTGCACTGGGTTAGTGCTGAAAATTTTATATGTTTGCATGATTATCCACTTTGATTTGTAAAAAAAACGAGATTTTTTCCTCAATTTTTTTCCAATTTCTGTTCTTTTTTTTCCAAAAAATGAATCCCTTTTATAACCACAGCATGCACAATTGGACTAAGAGTCTCTCCAAGGTAGAAAAGATCAATTTGGGGGTAGAAAAAGTCTCTCCAAGGTAGAAAAGATCAATTTGGGGAGGTACGGTCTATCTCCTATTGCTACCCTTAGGGGAGTAGTTATAGACTGGAATTTTTTACAGGCTTGCATCAGATTTTGGGACCCGGAGGCCCATGTTTTTCGATTCGATGCCATGATGGAGGAAATGTGTCCTCTCTTTGAGGAATTCTGCAAGATTATAGGGTGCGATCCCAACGCCCCTTTGGTTAGACAAGAGGCCAGAATTGGGTATATGAGGTCGTTTGAAAATCTATTCCAGTTCAGCCGGCCACAAGCTAGGGCCATGGTAGTGGATGACCAGAAGGCAATTCTGCTACCACTGATTGATGAATTTAGGTTGGTTAAAGGACCACCTCCAAGTGGTTGCTGCTGCCCTACTTTCCTTGCCTTATAACCCCTCTCAGTATCGTATGCGGAGGATTTTGATCACTCATCCGTCTACTGCATCCGTCTACTGATGCATGGACCTCGTGGCTGATTGAGTTGGGTCCAAATGAGGTACTGTGGTACATTTCCTGGTATGACATCACCCGCTTTATGCAGGCTAGCTTGCGCCATACCCGAGTTTACCTTCTAGGCCTTACACATTGCACGTGGTACTGCGCTACGGGCGTTTTGAGGCAGATGGGGATAGACCAGACTGTTTCAATTGTGGATGGCACTTCTGTTGATTCAGTTATTACTCCGGGTGTTACCCGAGCCATCCTTAAGGCTTGGGTTAGAGATCACCACATGGTTAGGCCCCTACCTAATCCTGCCGGCGTTCATACTTCTCCAGAGTACCGAACTTGGTTCATTGCTGCTGTTTGGCCGATATTGAAGAGGCCAAGGAGGAACGCCCACTGCTGATGCAACTCAATATTCAGACAGATAAAATATGCAACTCCCTCATGTATGCATGAACCTATTTAAGTGCTAGGGATTTTATTCATGGTTTTCCTTTATCGATCCTTCTAAGGAAACCACTGAGAGAATAGTATTTGACCTCCTGATCGCCGCCTAAATGAATCTAATACTCAGGCATGTGAACCCCTCCCCCAAAAATAGGCATATAAATGCATATAACTAAGGGCAGAAGTGCACGTGAAGGTATGAGTCGCCACCTTGTTTAATTATTTTAGGGTAAACTAGGGAAAATCCCTAAGTTGACTCCAATTTTAATTAACCTACTTACTAGATTAATTATCCCAATGTTTAAGGCATGGTTTGCGAACCCTAGGTGGATCCCGAGACCATGTCATGTTGATGAACTAACCGATGAATGAATGCTTTGCAGGGGTAAGATGATGTTAATTGGACCAAATGAAAGTGTTTAAGTTGATTTTGACTTGCGCTCGGAGTTAAATCCCGAACGTGCCTTACGTACTTCCGTTTGAATGGCAAGATCAAAGTCGGACGTAGTTCGATAGGCCTTTTTTAAAAGGCTTTGAATGGGTATTGCTTAATCATAGTGTGTGTATGCTTTGTGCATTTTTTGTTTAGGCATTTTGCCAAAGAATTGATTGATTGATTAGGCGTTGTTTCCAAAAGGTTTGATTTAAGGCTTTTAGCCAAAAAGGATTGATTTAGGCAATTGTTGCCAAAAAAGTTGATGTTGATTTAGGCGATTGTCGCCAAACTTGATTATTTGAAGTATTTTAGCCAAAATGAGTTGATTTAGGCAATTTGTTTGCCAAAAGGTGTGATAAGCGATTGTCCGGCAAAATGAGGAAATGATTAATTTTAAGGCTTTTAGCCAAAAGATTGATTAATTCAAGGCATTTTTGCCAAAAATGGATTTAAGCGATTTGTCGCTAAAAAAGGGTTAACCTTACTTTATAGGCAATTTGTTTGCCAAAAGTGATTAATTGATTTGTAATATAAGCAATTTATTGCCAAGAAAAACGTGTTTAATTAAGGCTATTTAGCCACAATTATTGATTAATTGGACTTAAAGCCGGACTGTTCGAAATAAAGGCGATTATACTATAGTCATTAATCGACTAGGCACTTTAGCCAATATTGTCGGATTTAGGCTTTTAATACCACGATTATTAATTAATCGGGCATTTAAGCTTAATCATATTAATTTAATTAAGGCAGTTTGTTGCCAAAATGATTATGGTGGTGTGAATGCAGTTGTAGAATTAGGAGTAGAAGAGAAATATGCATGCATGAAATGCTGAAATTAAACAGGCAGGGTTTCGTTATTACCTGAGTTAATCGGCGGTCGCTTCTTAGCTTCAGCTCGAAAATTCCAGATTAAGCTCCTCGTTTGGGGAATATTAATTAGAATTAATTTAATTAAAGTGGCCTAGTATCACAACAGTAGAATACTAAAAGCCTATACTAAATGCAGAAAAGCAGTAAAAGAATCGCAAGCAGCGTAGGGGAGAAGGAGCGTCCGTTAACACAGAGTTCGTCAACATAGACTGAGTACCTAAAACTGTCGATTCGGGGCTGTTTTTATAGGAAAAACCAGGCTAGACGGTCCACTTGCTAGTTTTTCGTTCCAAAGGCTTTTTCGGGAGTTACGCACCTCCAAAAAATATTCCGAGACCAGTTCTGCGATCCTCATAATTTTTTCGGACATTTCATACTTTCGATGAACTTTTCGAACGGCCTCCCGTCCAGCCGGACTGTTTGCAGTCCGGGAAAATAGGCTTTTTGAGCCTCAAAATTTAAGTATTCACACCATTCAGTCAACCAACAAGTCAATATGAGGCAAAGGAAAATCGTCCTTCGGACAGGCTTTATTCAGATCCCGGTAGTCGACACACATTCGCACCTTTTTCGGTGAACTTCCGGAATGGCCTCCGGTACCGGCCGGACTATTTGTAGTCTTGGGAAAACTGGCCTTTTTGAGCCTCAAAATTTGGGTATTCACACTTAGATTTTTTTTTTTGGACTTTAGACTTTATCTGGCATTTTGGCTTTGGATTTTTTCTTTGGATGTATTTTTTCGGACTTGACTTTTTATTTTGTTTTTTGCGACTTCTTTTGGCTTGACTCTATTGGAATAATGACATTACAGGTTTTGACTTTTGGGCTTCCAAGCATTCCCAATTTATTTATTCAAGCTCTAACTTTTGCCTAAGCCGCCCTTTCGGATTTTCAGGCTTAGCGCAGCCCCGGACTTTTGCTAAGCCGCCCTTTTTCGGTGCAGAGCTAGTGGGACCCCGACTTTTTGGCCTAAGCCGCCCTTTTCGGGGTTTCTTTTTTTTTTTTTCACTTTTCTCTTTTCTTTCCTCTTTCTCTTTTTTTGGCAAAAAGAAGAATGAATCATGAAATGATTTTTTCATTAATGTTTAGACCGCCCACCCAAAAGAGGCTGCCTACATAATCTCCCGATACATTAAGTTTCTTTTTCCGAGGAGAACAGTCTAATGTAGCTCTTTTTTACAATCATTGCAATGATTAATAATTACACATAATATCTTTTCAACTGATCCTAAATTACCTGGATTCGTGAACTCCAAAAACCATCTAAAATCAGTCAAAATTGACGCTCCGCCGGACAGTATTCTCTTTAGAAATGTAGGGCCCAGGCCCAATGAGGGCGGAACTTCCCACGTGGGTCTTACGACTGGTTTCTAATTTCCTTCAGACCAAACAAACCTTCTTCCAATCTTCGGGTCTTTGACCTTTCTATTAAAATGCCTAGCCATTCTCCTCTGGCTAAAACCTGAGTTCGGTGGATCGCTTGTAATCTTTTCTCATCAATACCCAGGAGTTGGAGTGGTAATTCTGGACCCAATCTGCTTCGCTAATTTGGCTTTTCCCGGATATTCTTGCCAACTGAACTTCCAGTTCACAGGCAGCACTTGCCTCCATAACCATATACCAGGAAACGGAGCTGGCTTCGGTGGGCTTCTGATTTGAAGCCTATATCCCCCATAGGGCATCGGAACCGTTCATGCCCAAGCTTGTGCTTTTTAACTGTCTTCTGCAAAATGACTTTTATAGCCTTATTTTGCAGCCTCTACAAGCCCCACTTGTTTTGTGGACGATAGGGTGAAGGAACTTTATTTGATGTTGGATTCTCTTTTTCTTTCAGCCAAATCCAAAAAATTCACTCTGAAAGTGGGACCCATTATCAGTGATGATCTCGAATGGCCGTTCGTCCCATACCGACCAAAGGGATGTTAGTATGAATGAACTGTGCCGCCTTCTTGGCATTCAAATTACCTATGGAATAAGAGGCTTGCGCTCGAAAGTCCAACTTAGTAAATAATCCACAGCAACCCAAGATGAATTGATGACCATTTGGAAGCCTTTGGGTGGATCTTTCCGAATCCACATCTATGCCCCAAGTTGCGAAGGGCCAAGTGCAAGCAATGGGATTCAAATTTGACCAGAGGCTGTTTTTGTAGCTTTAGCAAAAAATTTGACACTCATTGCCACTTCTGCGCACTGCCTCACGCAATTCTGCATTCATTAGTTGGACCAGTAATAAAACCCAGGTTCATGATTTTTCGAGCCGAGCTATCCCGTGCATGTGTTGGACCGGACTCCCCTTGTGTAAGGAATCCATAAATGGGTTTTTGAGCTTCCCCTTCATCTTAATGCATCTTAGGTGCAAACCGTTCCAAACTTCTTTTATATAGAACTCCCCCAATAAGGAAATGATCCGGATGCTAACCGTCTCAATGTCCGCCTGATCAATCTTCGAGGATCCATTCCAGGGTAAACCTCGTTTCGAAGAATAATCTGTGTATGTCCCAAAACCAGGGCTTGTCATCGACCAAATTCATGATGTGGGCCGGCTGTTTCTGTAGCCGAACTGTCAAAGGTCGAATAATTTGATTCCTCTCTACATTGACCATGGAAGCTAAAGTAGCAAGGGCATCAGCAAACTGATTCTTGGCTCGGGGCAAGTAATGGAAAGACAGATCCTTGAATTGTTGAGCCAATCCGTCCAAGCGTTGTAGGTAAGGAACCAAACGCTCTTCTTTAGTTTTCCACTTCCTTAGAACTTGAGAGACTATTAAATTGGAATCCCCGAAAACCCTAAGGACTTTTATCTCTTTTTCCAGGGCCGCTTCTAACCCCTTACCTTAACGCAAGCTTCATACTCGGCTTCATTGTTGGCGCAGTCAAAATCTAACTTGACTGCGATTGGGACGTATTCTCCACAAGGAGTTTTGAACATGACTCCAATTCCATTTCCGTGGTAATTCGAAGCTCCATCAAAATACATCTCCCAAACGTCATTTTCTACATTCAAGTGATCTTCGTCGGGAAACTCCACTTCTTTCATTTCGTCTTCCACAGGCAGTTCCGCTAATTGGTCAGCCAAGGCTCCTCCTTTTACTGCCTTAAGTGACTTAGTATTCACAAGTTTAGCAAGTAATAGTATTCTGTTTTGAAATGATTTGGGAGAATCCTACAGAAAAACTGCAAGAGTTTCCCCTAAAAATAGAAGTTGCCAAACATATGAATACAAAGCACTCCCAATATAAAAACTCCAAACCCCATCAAACTCCAATAACAACACAATAGCACTTCTATAATTTCATAACTCCATAGTTCCTCAATAACATTAAAATATTCATCACTTCAATACATTCATTTAAATATATCAACTTCTAATGTTCTAACCATTAAATAAGTCCAAGTTTATCTCCCAATATATCTCCCAATATATATACACCAAAATAGTTTACAATAACATGCTTAAGTTATAAATGAAATAATACAGTCTCCAAAAATATAATACTTATACATGCCATAATTCTTAGTTACAAAAAAAAAATAATACTAAGTAACTACCAAAATATCTCTTCAGCTCTGATGCTACTCTTCAGGTCTTTAAGAGCAAGCACAATCTCCAACCTGCGCGTGATAAAATCAACGCGCTGAGTATAAAACTCAGTGGTGCTCATAAAACACAACAAACCAATGTTGTGATACTTAAAAACAATTATTATATAACATAAATCATTAAATTTGAAACATGCAGTACATATGCACACCAACACCAGTCATGCTTTAGAAATTCATTTTGATATCTATAAATAAGTTGTGGTAAATTAGAGTATTAACATAATGTGATCTCATTTATTTCACTTCCTTAAAAATATTGTATAAGGCCTCACATACACTTAGGAAAAAAAGAAAGCAAGATAAGTTTTCTAGCTTATTCATAATGGCCTTAGCGTCGCCAACCTTTTCAAATAACCATATAGAGCGCGTTCGCCCCTAAACATAAGACACCCACGTGCCTAGCATATGATCATAGCTTCTTATCATAATGGCATTCAAAATGACCGAGCATGACTCATCATACATAATTAAAAATCCAAATCATGCATCAAATTCACACCAAGTATATTAGAAGCCCAAAAAACATTTCTCATTAAAAATTCATTCTTTAGTTCTTCTCATAATAAAAAACTTTAATTTTAAACTTACATGTAATTCATTAAAAATTCTCATATACATTGATCCAAATAAACCCATGATTCAAGGCATAGGAAATTTCCAACATTAATATAACCTTGACCTTTGCAGGGTTTTTAAGACATAACGTGAGATATAGGTCTCCAAATGGAACGAAATTAGATTCATTAGAAAGCTAAGAAAAAATGCTACAAATTTTATGACAGGATCACAGTCCAGATCAATCTGCAAGGTAGCAAACAAAAGCTAGGAACAAAGACCAACAGTCCAGACCTGATTCAGCAGAACCAAGTCCAATGTTTATTGAATTACTCCTTAACCAAACACTCAAATTAATTCAATCAACGAGAGAATTCTCAAACACAGGGAAAACAACTTTTATGAAGAACTTCAGAACCTAATCTGTCACTTATTAGTGGTCAAAATGGGCCACTAAAAGTCAGTGATGCATGTGGACCGACACAAACAAGAGTCAGTTTGGTGTTTCAGCCATAAGTTGCAGTTATATATCTATATATCTCCAAATTGGACACAAGAGGATGGGTTGGAAAGCTAAGAGATAGACCTACAACCGTTATGAAGAACTCAGACACAAATGGAAACTAGAAAGGACCGAAAAATGGTCCTAAATCTCACTCAATATCTCATTTTTCCCAAATTCAGTTTACTTGAGCCATGAAAGGAACATGAACCACAAAGATACAAGGTAGAAATGTCTACTGTGAATACCCAAATTTTGAGGCTCAGAAAGCCTGTTTTCCTGGACTACAAACAGTCCGGCCGGACCGGAGGCTATTTCGGAAGTTCATCGAATATACAAATAATAGCATAAAGGCACAAAATCAAAATTTTGAATAAGGTAAGTGTGTTTATGAACACTAACTTTAACAAGCTTTAATCAAAGCTTCTCAAGCTTTGGTCTTGCCTTTATCCTTATTAGAAGGCTCTCCACCCTCTACATGGAAGTGTAAATACCTAAATTTTGAGGCTCAAAAAGCCAGTTTTCCCGGCCGCCCTTAAAGGCGGCGGCCGCCCTAAGGCCCAAAATTCACATTTTGGCCCCTAAGACCCGAAAATTCTCAATCTGGACCCCTAAGGCCCAAAAATTCACATTTTGGCCCCTAAGGCCCGAAAATCCTCAATCTGGACCCCTAAGGCCCAAAAATCACATTTTGGCCCCTAAGGCCCAAAAATTCACATTTTGGCCCCTAAGGCCCAAAAATTCCCAATTTGGCCTCTAAGGCCAGAAGAAGAAGAAGAAGGAGAAGAAGGAAACGTGTTATGGAGAAGAAAGAAGGCAAAAGTTGGTGCTCAATAATTGATAGTTGCTTTATTAAAGCAACTAAGGGGGTATTTTGGTCTTTTCTCCAAATTGGAGGGTATTTTTGGTCTTCTCTCCAAATATTCTCCAATTAAATTCCTTCAAAATATTATTTATCTCCACAAAAGTTTCTAATTTATTCCATAAAAATAATTCCTCAATTTTCCTCCATAAAAAAAATAATTGCTCAAATTTCCTTACTTAATCTAACACCATAATTCACTATTCACTAAGTATCTAAATTCTCCAAAAATATTCCTTACTTACTTTCTACCCATAAAAACCATGCATACATCTCAAAAAATGTAAATAAAGATATAAAACATAAATAGTAATTTTCGGACCAAAATTAATTTACAACTTTCGGACCGGTGGTACGATTTCACAGACCGGTAAACTACTATTAAAACACAGGAAAAAAATGGGGCGTTACAGTTCTCCCCCCCTTAAAGAATTCGTTCCTCGAAAATCCACCTGAATTAAACAACTGAGGATGTTGTTGTCTCATAATCTCTTCCTTTCCCAGGTAGTTTTCTCGGCCTATGGTTTCTCCAAAGAACCTTTTACCAATGGACTCTTATTCCTTAGTTCCTTAAATTTTCCCTAGCAAGTTATCCTCACTGCTCTTCCTCATAAGTTAAATCTGGCTCTATAGTCACAGGATTCCATGATATTACATGTGATGGTGACCGAATACCTTCCTCAACATAGATACGTGGAAAACATTTAGTATCCTATCCAGGTTCTCGGTGGTAAAGCTAGTCTATAGCTAGATGGACCCCACAGGCTCAATGATGCTTCTCATATGGACCAATGAACCTAGGACTAAACTTACCCTTTCTTCCAAATCGCAATATCTTTTTTCACGGAGATACCTTAAGGAAAACCTTATCTCCCACTGTATACTCTATATCCTTCCTCTTCAAATCCGCATAAGATTTCTAACAATCTGAAGCTGCTTTCAATCTATCTCTGATAATTCTGACCTTTTCCTCTGTATCCCGAATCAAATTCGGACCTACCATCTTGCCCTCACTCAATTCTGACCAACACAGTGGAGTCCTACATCTCCTACCATATAGTGCATCAAAAGGGGCCATCTGAATACTCGACTGATAACTGTTATTGTAGGCAAATTCTACAAGTCGAATGTACTTCTCCCAACTGCCCTTAAACTCAATAGCACAAGCTCTTAACATATCCTCTTAATTATCCTCCAAAAGTTGATAACCCGCTCTGACCTCGAACCATCTGTTGAGGATGAAAAGCTGTGCTGCGAATTCGGCTTAGTTAACCCAGGGCCTCATGTAGCTTTCTCCAAAATCTAGAAGGTAAATCTCGGATCTCTATCTGGAAATGATGGAATAAAGGTACCCCATGTAATCTCACTATCTCACATATACAGCTCTGCATAATTGTCCTATTTGGTGAAGTCGGTCCTAACAGAAGAAAGCTGTGCCTGACTTAAGTTATCTGTCAACTCAATTACCCCATACAGCATCTTTGGCTTTTTAGTGGAGTTAAAGGGCCAATCCAGTCACAAAAATCCATAGTAACCTTATCCATTTCCACTCTGGAATAGGGAAGTAGGGTGTAACAAACCAGAAGGAAACTGATGCTCTGCTTTCCTTGTTGCATCCGTCAAACACTCGACTGCTTTCACTTGCTGGCACGTCAAACACCTCGACACATAATCTGTGATATCCCTCTTCATCGCCGGCCACCAATACTGTGATTTCAAATCCTGATATATCTTATTACTGCCTGGATGCATAGCATAGGGACTACTATGAGCTTCTCTTCCTCAGCTCTGAAATTTTAGGCACACAAATCCGATCCCCAAAGTACAAGCAGTCGTCGTCTTTAATCATAAATCTCTTTTTCCTTCCATCTCTGACTAGGTCTTTCCATAAGGCAATTGTCTCATCATCCTTCTGTGCATCTCGAATCTGCTGAAGTATAACTCATAAGCTGCCACGAGTGCACTGATTACTAGCTACAGATTATCGCGTATTCCATAGCACGTAAAGCAAACCAAAGGATTCCTAACTAAGTGCAGCTTGCTACCACAGTTAAGCTTACCCGGATGGTAATCAACTGGTGAATCATAGTCCTTAAGTAGCTCTAACCATTGCCGCTGTCTCAGAATTAGCTTCCTTAATTGAGTAAGCAGGATACTTGAAGACTCTTATTGATCCGTATACAGATGACATTTCTCACCATCAAAGTAATGCCTCCAAATCTTCAAAGCGAAGGCTATAGCTGCTAACTCCAAATCATGCCGTAGGGTAGTTCTTCTCGTGTGGTTTTAGCTGTCTAGAGCTAGGCAACTACCTTTGCCTCCTGCATAGCACACAACCCAATACCATTATGTGAAGCATAACATATACACATCATTCGGTTTACCCCGAAAACGGCTGTGTCAACACTGGAGCCTCAATAAGGCATCAATCTTAAGGCTCGCAAAAACTATTTTGACATTTATGCATTCCATCGATCTTGAACATCCTTTTTTGAAGAAGGCCTGTCAAAGGAGCCGCCCCGCAATGAGAGAAAATCCCTTGACAAATCTTCTATAATAACCAGCCAATCCTAAGAAACTCCGAATCTCTGTCACATTCTTAGGTGGCTTCCATTCAGGCACTGCCTCTATCTTCTTCGGATCAACTCTAATACCCTCAACAGAAATAATGTGACCTAAGAAAGCAATCTCAGACAACCAGAATTCACACTTACTCAGCTTAGCATACAACTGTTTCTCTCTCAATATCTGAAGTACAATTCTCAAATGGTGATCATGATCCTCTCTAGTCCGAGAATATAACAAGATGTCATCAATGAACACAACCACAAACTGATCTAAATAAGGATGAAAGATCTAGTTCATCAAATCCATGAACACTGCAAGAGCGTTAGTCAAACCAAACGGCATTACCAAGCTAGCTCACAACCCAAACGGCCCCATTCACCAACCTCATAGTCCGACCGGCGTAGCGCATGTGTCCTCCAGTCTCTAGGTACATCTTGATGCGCTCTCCATCCCTTGCTCGATGATAACGTCCCTTACTCTCAGATCTATCTTCGAGAAGTGTTACACTAGCTCCTCTCAACTCGATACAAGATAACATCATTCTATCCGAGCAATGATTACCGATTTTCATAGTAACTTTGTTAGTTGTTTATGTACTCAATTACACAATCTAGTGATTCCAATCTTCTTCTATCTACAAAACTCCCGTGGGGAGCACCCACGGAGTACCTCCAATATATAGCCACGAATAATACAACCCTTCAAGCAATGATTAAATCATGTATCAATCAACGTCTTTATCAAACCATGCAGGCTTGCCATTACCGCCTACCTGAAAAAAAGAAACATTGCGATCTACGGGCCAGTAGCAGGAACATAACCTTCCGATTACCAAATTCAATCCTCTCTCTGGAGGTAAAACCAAAGACAACTCCATCTGGAAACAGCAATCGGAAAATCACATAAACTGATGGAGATATATCAATGGAACAACTAGGGAAGATTCTGCTAACGCGCCCATTTTTCTGTCGTCATGAAATAGTAAGTTATTGGTCTGTGAATAAAGTCATCACTCGGCTCCGGCGCACATAAAAATTATCCTATTTTTCTCGAATAAAAATTACTAATGTATGTTTAACTATTTTCTTTAAATATTTCCTGGATCATCGTATACATTATTATTTATGAAGGTTAGAACTAGAGTAACTGAATATTTTTGGAGAATTTAGAAAATTAGTGAATAGTTTAATTAAAGGAGTGATTTATCTTGTTCAGTTCACGACGCGCTGTCTCCGCACCAAATTAGGCACACACTCCGCCGTCGGCCGCTCTCTCGCCGCACACCTGCCCGCGCCGCGGGTAAGTTACCAGATTTCTGGACTCTAGGAGCACACGTACACAGGGCTAAGTACGCGCCTCACCCACACCATGCCTGGATCACTCCTAACTAGCAGTAAGAAGCAGACACAACACACACTTAGAGACGGTTAAATCCGGACCTTCTCACACCACAAACTAAATTCTCCTCACAGTGAGTCTGGCAGAGTAATCCTACTTAAGTCTAACATCAATCCTAACTCAATGTCTAGATAACCCAATCATATACCCAAAGATACATCAAACTCCCAGAAAAAGAGCAACATCTATTAGATCTCCAGAAATACACATTGGCCAAATAAGAATTACACAAAAATGGAACAATTCTAGAATATACAACAACGATTAACTTACGACCACATATGACTAAGGATTAGTTAACCTCAATACTATTCGCTCATCACATACTCAGCACTGCCATACCCTTACCCACAATCTTACCCACCATGTATGCCTAAATATGAATGGAGTTAGAGCCCAGGATCAATCAAAGGGCATATACAGAAAATACCTCACAAGAGAGAGACATGTCCCAATGATAACCGTCTGGGGCATCCTGCTCCCTCCCCCTAGTCCGGCGATAGCCATACGCTCGGCAGCTGTGCTCTGGACTCAAGTTTCCCTGTCTCTGACACTGGCTCTGGACTTCCCCCCAGTCACCTCCTGTATCACCACGGCCCTCTGCCTTGCCTCTCGAACCATAAGGAGCTGACCTCCCTACCCTCAGGAAGCCTGCGCCACTAGCCAAAGTTCATAGGGCAGTCTCGAAGCAAATGCTCTGTAGACCCCACCATCGAAACGGCCATTGCCCAGCAAAATCTCTACAAACCCCAGAATGCCTTCTTTCCCACACTGAGCGACCCACCTCCGCGGAATTGCAATCCATGTAGCACCCTCCCACACCACCTAAGCAAACAGATTGTGGGCTCTCGTGGAGCTTACTCTGCCATGCCAGTACCTGTCCATGTCTCTTGAATAGATCTTATACCAGCGTCTGTGATGGACCCCTGTGCCTCTTACTACTAGACTGAACCCAGGGAAGTTCTGTCCAGATTACCATTACCCTGAACCTCTTTTTGTTGTGACCCTACTGGACTCGTGTGCCTCCTAAACCTACTGCTCTTCCTCACTTTCCTCAACGCTCCTAAGCTGCCTTCACTAGCGCCAAGACAATGATGTCATGAGCGCCCATGGGCAACCCAATGCCATCGCGATACTTCTCATCATGCAACGCCTTTTTCCCCTGGAAGCGCTTGCAATCTATCCAGACTCACGCGTCAGCGCGACATATCTCCCGTAGCACTAACCTGCTCAATGGATGCACACTCTCTTCCTCATACTCCAGCCACCAGGACATCTCTGCCCTGCTTTTAACTGCCTTAAACAAACTCTTGCTTTGACGCTTGGTCCAAATGTAAAGCCTCCCCACTATATTTCTGTCTGCAACCTCAAAAGAAAGACCCAGTCCCAAGTCTCTGCTCAGCACTAACTGGATCCCGTGATACAGGTATCCCCACCACTCGGGTCAAGCTTCCCCTCTCCTTCAATAGGAGTGGGCACAAACCACAACCTTGTCTACAGGTCCCACACCCACCGGTGCCACCACCCCCCCCCCCCCGCCCGCTTGACGGCACTGACTCTGGTCCCAATATCCTCTCCACCAGACCTGGCACGCCAATCACTCCTGCTGCAGAAGCCACCATTCATCCCTTTCTCGTACCCCATAACACTCAACGCTCCATATTTCCTCAGTTTCCCTAATCAGCGGCGGCCACCGAACTGGAAACACGCCGCGCTGGCAGCAACTGGAGCCCTAGTGACAGCTCCCGGCCTGCCTGCCTCAAGCCACCAGCCAACTACACTGCTGAACACAATGTATCCCTTTTATTAGGCCCAGCAGGACCTGCCGCAGTGTCGCCCACCTCGAGGCTCGTCCTGCATCAGAACCCACAGCACCCCACCTACGCTGCCCTCACCCAACCCAGCGCAATACCACCAATCAAGAGCCCGGACACTACACTATCCACCTCCTCCTACCATTGACACCCACTGTTGAGACATCACTCCCACTCCTACAAGACCAAAAGCGTTCGCATCAGAGAGAAGCCTCCACAACCAAATCAACCCCTATGGCCATGTACCTTAAACTTACACCTCTACCTCCATACACTCTCACTTCAAATAGACTACACATGGCCCCCCTATACATGCATTACGTCCGACGAACTGCCTCCAACCTCATGCCTCTGCATAACCACTAAAACTGTAAACACCGCCGACCCCCCCCCCCCC